AGAAAAACCTTCATTATCCAAATTTTATGGAAGCATCTTCAGGTGATGTAGATTTGATTTCATACAAATCATGACCCCAGGGGGTGGAGCCACAATGGGCGTTCAAAGCTTTACATAGGAATATATAGGAAAAGATCTTTAATGATCTTCTCAAGAACAGCAAAACCATGATTAGTCATATCTATATGGAAACCTCATCAGGTTGAGTAGATTCAATTTTTTCAAATCATCACCTCCAGGGCTATTATGAGGCCATAATAGGAGAACAGAAATTGAACAGATTTTTGAAAAAAAGAGATGCAGACTTGAAGCTGAAACCTTCAAAATGTAATCATATTTTGAAGGTTTCAGCTTCAAGTCTGCATCTCTCAGCCTTTGAAAAATTATTTTCTTTTGTAGGACCTCAGGAAAGGTGGAACCTGGAACGATTATGTCATCCATATATAGTAGACATTCCTCCCACTGCAATCCACGTAATACATCGTCTTAGAGTCGACTAAGAGTGCTTGGACTATTGCATAACCCGAATGGCATGACCTTGAAATGAAAGAAACGTACCAAGGCTTGTGGAAAATGCAGTTTTCACCTTGTGTTCCTCTATGGCATGTCAAACGTTGCAATATTCGAACTTTCCCATTTGTATTGTATAATTTTTCATTTGTATTGTAAATTTTTCCATTTGTACTCAATAATTTTTACTTGCATTTTGGCTACGATTTCTGTTTCTTGTGATATATATTCTATTGTGTTGAATGGTCTACTATATATGGATATACCCTGAGAATAAAATCACGAAAAAAAAAAATTACGCAAGGAAGGAATCTTGTCAATATTACAGCAGAATTGAGAGACGCAAAAACATTCCGTTTATAAATATTCCCACTTACGGATTTAAGGGGATATGGGGGAGAGGGTCACGCAAAGATTAATTTACATGTGTGCCTAAAAGGTACGTAGTACATGTATCAGGTTACATGTGTACCTAACAGGTACGTATTACATGTATCGGGGGGGGGGGGGTTGGCAAGAAGGGGGCCCACTTTTTTTCCAAACATAACCTTTTACATTTGAAAATATTTTTTGAAAGGCTGGTTGCCCCCCCCCCTCCTTTTGTCGTAGCATAGTTAAATCATGGGAATTTGGTAATGTATTAATAAAATTTGGTTGTGAAGGAAAGTTGGAACCTTCCAACCAACCCCCCCCCCCCCCCACACCCACCCCACCCCACCCCTCTACGAAATAGGATTTTCGAGTTTGGACATTTTTTTTTTGCTTGTCAAATTTTTTCCAGGTAAGTTGTCAATTTGTTTCTGTCTGTCCCCCATTTCAAAAATGATACTACGTGCCTGCCTAAGGCTACTTATAAAGGAAAATAACAAAGGGAAATCTACCATGATATTAAAATGTGCATATCAATATACGCTGAAATAGAGTTTATAAAATACATATATGAGATATGGTATCCTTTATTACTTAGTGTAACCTGGATTACACTTGATTTCAACCAATAACGGGAGAACAGGTTTCCCAAAAGGGGATTTCCGCATACAACCCAGGCTTCTTAAATGAAAACTCTTAGATATATATGTGACTCCTGAAGTAGTCACTTGTCTCAATTTTTTGAAAGTGCTTTCACTAATAACCTTGGAAAGTGAAGAATGGTTTTATTTATCGGTAAAAAATGACTAATGTCGGTCGCCAAACACTTAAAATTCCGAGACTGATGAAGGCAATTTGTCTTAAAATTTCTTTCTTCGAATGAAATACTTTGTAAGTTTGCGAATAAACGCGAAAGTTTCGCGTTATAACGCGAAATTATGTATATAGTCATGTTGATCAGGAGCCTGTGATATGGGCGTATAGCGGTACACTTTATTTTATTAAGTTTGATGCATTTTCCGATAGTTTTATTGCTCCTTTTCCAAGAGGCTTTAATAGCCTAAAATGTCAATGATCAACCAGATCTCCTAAATGATCAAACTGGTTACAGAGATTAAGTATTTTAAGTGTTCATTTATTGTAACCCTCGGCTGATCAAATCAGAGACCTATAAATAAGATACATGTATTATATTTCTGGTCAAATTACGTATGAGTTATACATTACAGAATTATTGAATTACACTTTCTGTTTTTTGTTGTTTGTTCGTTTTTAATTTTTAAACACTTTTTCTCAATAGATGTGTACACGGAATCAATCCCTATTTAATACAGTAAGAAACGTTTAAGAAACGTTTATAACGAAGTTAAATTCATGACATATTTTAATGCCATGAGAAATTGAAATCATCACTTTGCTGTAAATGTCAGTACATTATACATATATATATGTCATAAGTGAGTTCGCTATAAGCGTGTTTTACCGTATACTGAACTCCAAAGAAATGATGATGTTGGATTGTTAATTAAATAAATCAATAGATAAAAAAAAATCCGAGTTGGTTATGAAAAGAATAACAATAGTTAATTATTTAATGGATTGGTCTACAACAAGTAATTGACTTACTTATCACAATCCCCATGTATATGAAATAAGAAAATGATTTCTGCTTTGATAAGTATTGCAATTACTTAATTCTGAAAAAAAATGTCACTTAAAAATTCATTAGTCCCCGTCTATGTTCATGTTTCTTATCTGTCAGTCAAGATCACGAGTTCCTGATTGACATGACTACAGTGTATATGTATATACTAGTATATAATTTCGCATCATAACGCGTAACTTGCGTTACACCGCGAAATTCGCGCATTATTACGCAAAAGTTTCGCGTTATAACGCGAACAATATTTGTTTTACCTACGAAAATGAGCTCAATGGGTTTGCGTAGCAATAGGAGAGGGCTTTTGGAATTCCATATGCGACAGCCAACTGCTTACTGCCAACTGCTCACTGCCCACTGCCACTGCCACTGCTTATTGATGATATTGCCTATTTTGTTATCTAAATATCTTTAATACTCATGCTCGAATAAATCCTATGATAGCAAGAAAAGAACGGCGAACGATAGTATTGTTCTGCCAACAACCTCCAAGTCAATTTTCAAAAGTTGACATGTTTGAACTATTTTTTTTTTTTTATTTATATACATATTTATGTCAATTTTATAAAACATAACTTATTTGGGGAAACAAAGAGAGATAAGTCTTTAATTTGGTAAAACTTTTCACCATAGAAATCAAGGGGAAATGGAAATTTATTTTCAAAACAAAGCTTTTTACAGGTATAATAAATTGTTATTTCAAAAATTCATACCAAAGGGTTTATTGTTTCACGGGATAGGGGGCGGGGCATATGTTTACAGACTAAAAACAGGAAAACAGTCATTTTGTTATCAATTTCAAATGGATTACAAAATAAAAAATGTTCTTTATCAACCTGATATGTTGAATTTTACATAAGTTAAACACACAGAGAGATTTAAGAGTCATTTATCCATTTCCACCAGTATTTGAAAATCTGGTGATCTTTTAAAGCCTGATTTCAATTGATGAAAATTTTCATATGCTTATGAAAGTAGTTGTAAATAAAAGCAATTAACTTTGTGAATTAAAATTATTAATCCATTACTAATGAACTTTTCTTTGCATTCAAACAAGTTTTTATGACCAAATCTCCATTTATATTGATTTAAACGGAAGTAAAATCAATAGGCGGGAATCGAGAGTTGGCGTGCGTAGTTGTTACAATAATGACAAAAATTGGCGGATTTAGGAATTTTTAAACTGTGAAGGCGAGGAAGGAATAAATCGGAAGAAGGAGTATTTCCTCTAAAAAAAATTAAACCTTTTATTCCCACATTTCCTCGCAGGCAAATAGTTCAATAGTTTTTTGTTTGTTTTTTTTTCTGTTGGGTTGCCCCCCCCCACCCCCCCCCTCCCCGCACTAAAATTGCTTCCTTGCCAAGATCAACTGATTTAATATAGAATAGAATGCCTAGTATTATAATTTTTCTTCAGTATTTCTCGCACAAATGCATATGTTACATTAAAAGTTTAAATCTATAAAGTTTAAACTTATCTATATAACTATTTCGAGATAGTTATAGAAAAGATTTAAACTTTTAATGTAACACATGTATTTTGAAAGCTGCAAGAGACTTACATTTTGTAGATGAATTAATCGTGAATAGTTTAAAGTTTTGATCGTTAATTCATTATAATTTAGCACCTACAGCATGCTGTATATTAATACAGTTCTCTTGTTGTACGAAGAAACATATGGACAATGCCAGTAATTATTCACACTTCGAATATTTACAGCATTTAGAAGGTCGTTGTCAAAATTTATAGCATATAGTCTTGTTCTTTTTTGTTGTTGTTGTTTGTAAATAATTCATTTTTTGGCACCCAGTGATCATTTTATGTATGGTCTTTGAAGAAAGAAAGTCCCATTACCTTAAATCTAATATTTATCTTTAGATGTTTACATGCATCAAAACTTATTTTTTTATTTCATTTGAAGAACCGAGAAAGGATGAAATACATACTGTGAGAAATAAAACATAAGTATAATGTTGTTTTATCGAAGAGAAAACTTGGAGACCGTCATTCATTTTCAACATAAAAATTATAAACACCAGTTGATAAATTGATAAATATATCTCCGGGGGGGGGGGGGGGACACCCCTCCATGCAGTATACCGGCCTGGATCCGCCACTTGCTCATTGGCAGATTTTTATATAACAATTTATTCTGTCTTGAATAATTGAAAGCAACATTGTCTTATGTGGAATAAATTGCCAAATAACCGTCAGGAAATTCCCTTTCATCTATATTTGAAAATTGCTGATGTGACTTTTCCCACGGTTTAGAAATGACCTTTTTGTATTTGTTTTACAAGAGATCCTGACAACTGTATTTAAGCTATCCAAGGTACATTGCAATATTGTTTAATGTTTTATATTACATTTTTCATGCTCCACCAGATCATAACGATATGTTTGATCACGTTTCAAGTAATGTCAAATATTTCAGTCTCGATCACAATATACGTCAATCACGTGACTTGTCTGTATTGGCCTGATTTGCATACGAGCCGAGAGAGCTAGGTGGGAGAGGGGAGCGCCTATGTAATAAGGGTTATTTCAATGCAGGTGAGAAAACATAATTGTTTTGTATCGTGCACCATAATTAAGGATCCATATTTTGTCTCAAATTTTAACAGGTGCGCGTTACGGAGCATGAAAAACCCCGCGAAATAGTACGTGCACGGCCTTCCAATATGGATGACCTCTTGTCAATAAAGCGTGTTGTAGGATGCGTTTTACGACCGATTTTTTGTAGATCGGCTAGGGTTTGTTTAGATATAAGTAAAAGCAACTGTTTTCCAAGTACCATTTAAACTACAGTACAATAATTGTATACAATGAGAAACCGTTCAGTCGGTAACGGTATATTCGTTACAGATTGCACGCCTGACTGAGGCCTAGTTTTGTTGACTTTATTGTTCATTGCAGTGCTAGTAAATTGATCGATCTATACAAATCATCGACGATAACTAGAGGACAGTTGTTTTCACGAGTATATTCTTAAAGTGGACTATAATTACGTACAGTAGCTCAATATATAATTGAAATAACATGTGCACGTCGAATTACGTGTGTATGAAATACACATCACAGTACTGGTAATATTATTATCTCACCGTATAGACGCTTGTTTACACATTTCCCGAGGTATTCCAATATTTTATTTTTATCTTTAACGTTATCCCCTCATCCAAGGATTTTGTGAATATTTGTCTTGGTAAATACTGTAATAATTTGTGAACAATCACATCCTATTAAGACTATACACAGGTACTTTCAGTCCAGTATTTAAACCACCTCCATTTGGGAATCATTTGGTAAATAACACATGGAGAAAGTTTTTTAGCTGTATGAAAAGTGCAGTAGATCATTTTATTTGCATGCATATACTGACATGGAAAATCTAACAAACTAGAGGGTGCTTATTGAGCCATTTGAGGCTAATATTGACTTTGTACATATTCCAAAGTCATTTCAGTGAAAGTGGAATGCAAACCAAAGAAATGTTTGAAAAGAATAAAAATGAGCAGGACTAAATGCAAAGGCATTCAGATTAGCAAAATTTATATATATTCACATGCACCACCGTTGTTGATGAAAATTGTTTATGATAATTTATCATTGATAAAGTTAAAATAAAAACAATGGCAAATGCAGGTACAGGTATGGAGTACTAATGATGCAGAATAGCCATTGAAGGAAATTGTTGTTAACTGAATGTATAATAGATATTTCAAATGTATATCCAAAAGATTTAAGAAAAAGTTATGTGTGTCACTTAAGCATTGTACATCCTTTACATAGATAAAGTATTTATAGAAGAAAATAAATTTTCTAAACAGGAATGCATTCTTACTAGGGCATTGAAAGATGTTCATGTATCATATATTAATTGTTTTGTAAATATTTACATTTTCAAATATTTTTCCTTAAGATTCTTTGCAAATTAGTAAAAGTTCATGTTCTCAAGAACTACCGTGGGATGAGTAAGAATATTTTCATTGTGATGTGATTGAAGTAAAAAAAAATAGTGCAAACTTTTTTCTCCAAAATGATTGTTGAATGAATAAAAATAGGTGGCAAGTCATAAGAAATATAATGTGAATATAAGATATGAATTTAATTTTTGAGAATTCTTGAGGTACATGAACTACAACGCTTCACACTTGCATATTTATCATGAAGCGCTAATGCGCTTCATGAAATATGCCGGCGTGAAGTGTCGTAGTTCATGTCCTGGCATGAAATTCTCAAAAATTAAATTCATCTCTTAAATTTAATGATGAAGCACAATATCACTATTTTTTTTGTCTCTCTTTCACAACCAAACTTTGATAGTTTACATCCACTTTAATGAAATAAAATATTAATTCAAGAGAAAAAAATCTTCACAAATCAGATTGTCATGTTTATTTTGGTTTGGGAAGAGGGAGAATAAGTGCAGGGGTTGTTCCTAAGATTAATGACTGCTTCTGTATCTATTTTAAAAAAAATGACAACACAACCTCAAGGAATAAAGTCTGCTCAGTCAAGTGATGAGATGAGACTAGACAATTCAGTCACAAACACCTGCCACTCTTTGTTGTATATGCACTGCAGAACAATACTAAGTGCATGTCATCCGACGAGACAGTGTGAAAGGGGGGCAATGATCTTTATAAAAGTGTGCCCTCAAAAGATATATAGTTATCCAGAGGTGTGGAGTTTTATTTGAAAATTGGATTATTACTGTTGGCATGACACTGGTTTAAAATTTTCAGATTTTAATTGGGAGATTTCATGACAGTTAAGAAAAATTGCATTTTCTCATTTGAATTGTGGTAATTGATTAGTAATATACGTGTTTTGTGTAATTTAAACGTGTGATGATTATGGTGGTAAGGGAAATACTCTTTGCAAAAGATTTCCAATTTGTATATTTCACATTTACAGGTATATTAAATACAATGCAGTTTTAATTTGTGGATTCTCAGAAATTGTCTTCCATCATATAGGATAGGATAATTTGTCTTAATTCATTCTGTTAATTCTTTTCTGCTGGCTCCATGACAATATGAAGATTTGTCTTGGAATCTAACATGTATATAATGTTATCCTTTCCCAAGGTCCACCGATCCCCTATACCATAAAGACAACCAGGATGCACTTTATTTCCATTTTCTTCATTTCATTCAAAATTTCCACAAAATGCTAATGAAATTGTTTCCTATTATAATTGTCTCTGTATTTTCCAGAGCTCTGATTTTTGTTATGATATGTTGTTGTCTTTGAGAGTATTTTCTCTAGTTTCCAACTCAGTTTCACACAGAGTTTCCAACTGTAGCTCTAGGCCCTCAAGTGTTCTCTGCAAGTCATTGACCCTAGTACCCTGAAAAATATCAAGGTTCTGTGTACTGTCTTAAGATCAATGCATGCTGTCATCAATCTAAAAAAACCTTAACCCCAAGGCACTAATAAGGCTGAAATTTTTTTTGTGATTACTCTTGGATTTTTATGGAAGTAAAAAAAATACTTTATCGCAAAATGTCTGCAATAACCATGGAATTTATTGACTGTATACTACGAGTTCATTTATAAATGTATGGTTTGTTTTAGATGAATTAGTTTTGAATGGAGGGCTGGGCTGGGAACCGTGAGAAGCAGGGACTGGATTGTAGTATAGAAGGCTCGTATTGGGCTCAGTATGGCATACCCCAGGGGATGGAGCAAGCTTTAAAGGACCCAAGCTGGGTTACACCTAGTAAAATGAAGAAACTGGAAGAGGCAGAAATGGACAGGCTCTTGAGTCAAAGTAACAACCAGCAGCAAGGAACTGGTCAATCAAAAGAATGGTGTAGATCTCCTGGCATGAAGAACAGTTTAGAGGTAACTATTGGTTGTATTTAGTTTTTGTTTTTTATTATGGGCTTGACTTTGAAAAAACTGAAGGAATAAAACTCCTCAAAACCATTGTACAAGGAAAAAGTACTAAAAAAGCAGGTTTTTTTTTTTTTTTATTGGGGATTAAACTTTGTTTCGTTGATAAAAAGTATCACTTGATACTTCCCTGGTATTTGAAATATCAGTGTTGGAGATTGTATAAATAATTATATAACCACGAATAATGCTGCTTCTTGATTGCACAGACCTTTCACTACCTACTTCTTTCAATAATTTTGACAAAGCAAAATATGTGTTCATTATATAACGGAAAATATTTTAACATCTTATGATTGCTTTGTGCTCTAAAACTCATCATTTACTGCAAATTTCCAAACTTTGTCATCCTTGGTGAAAAGTAAAGTGGCAATGGATGATTTTATTTTATGAGTTGGTTTCCATTTAATGAGTTGGATTCCATTTAAAGATATAAATTGGTATATTAAAGCGATAACTGTATAGTGTGCATGGTTAAACATAATGCACGAACATAAAACTTCCAACTAAAAAGTAATATCTGTGCATTGATAAAGGTTTGAACTTGTCTGCTTTAAATTTAAGCCAGACGTTTCTATAAGAAGAGGAATTTTTATATTAAATGTGAAAGCTAGATGGCAATGAGATATGTGGCTTAAGTGCACTGAGCATGTAGGTCAATGCTACTTCATCCAAATCTTATTAAATAAAAAATTCTGTACATCAAAACATTATTTACATAAAAATTAAAAAGTATCCGGTTTTATCATATTCCCATACCTATTGATCAAAATGTTGATCACTGATGTTTAAATTTCTTATGAAGAAAGTGCACAGCAGCAACATATTTTAATGTACATTGAGTTCAAATAGAGTATCTGTTCTTTCTTTTGTTATTGAATTCTAATTTAGAAAAAAATAGTTCTTTGCTTCACTGTGTTTGAATTAATTAATTATAAATGCATACAGAAAATAATAACACGTCTAGACATTTCAAGGTAAAAAATAGAACAGCTTGTCTGCAGTTTTCTAGGTGGGTGTTATCTCTAAACTGTCTGGGCCAGTTAAAAAAAAAAAAAAAAAGGAACAAAAGTCTCCAGGTGAACAAAGACTTTGTCTTGCTGCATGTAGCATGTGGTGGTTTTTCTTAGAAATTCCACAACTTCTAGGCAATACATCTGGGTTTGTCTTAGCCATACCAGAATGAAAGGTGTATAAATGATTAAAAGCATCATGTGGATCAATAGAAATCATTATTACTATGGTGATAGGTGGTGTAACGGGAAATCTACTGATAATAGTTACCCAGCTAACTGTTTTCTTGTAATTTGGCTTTTGTGATCTGTTAATATGGGATAGAAATAGTTATATAGTAAAAAGAACGGGAAGAATTGTTTTGAACAGGAAGTTTATTTTGTATAAGCTCTTTTTAAATTCTCGGTCACAATAGTCTGATCTTGTGATAGTACAATGAGGCCATATGACTTATGTCATAATTTTTTTTCAAGAACATTCAAGTGTTTATAAGATGGCCATTTCAGAGGTTCTACATAGTACGCTTGCACTTTGTGGAAGTTGAAAGATTCTGGATTTGGAATGCATCGTTTTGCAATAAACATGTATTGAACATTGATGCATTACTGCATGTTGTTGGAAAGTATTATTTTGATATATAAATAAAGTGTGGTATAGGAGGGTTAAGGTCATGTGCATCATGCCCTACAATTTACCTTACCTATTGATAATTTTTCAAGATTTGTCTGAATTTTGAATCATAGTTCCATGATATGTTCTTAAACAAAAAAATCAGCATACATTACCAGGGAAATTGAATAGATATAAGATGATAAAAATCTTTGTGCTTTCAAAGAAAAATTACCAGACATACAGTTTAGCTTGTATTTCCTCAAAATTTGTTTCAGATGTGTAAGACATCATAGGCATAATATAAGTTGCACAAAGAACCTTCATTTATTGAACTCTTCGATTAAACAGGGAACAAGAAAAAAAGTTAAAAACTATGCTGTGTATTTCCTTAATTAAGTTATAGATCCCAGTAATCGTATTTTCACATTTTTTGGTAAATTTTCTCTAATATGTTTAAAATATGTTTGTGAATTCCTTTGTCTCTTATTTTCCTATGTACTCCTACAAAATATTCTGTACAAGAATAAGCAAGTAGTTATTCATGAAGAATTCTTAACAGATGCATTATTAATCATTGAAATATAATTTACTGATATGTATTGAACAGGTGCAAAAAATTGAAATGTCTCTTATTTTTGAAAGTATTAAAACTTTTGGTCATGGTACTTATTGTATACCAGATCCTGAGAGGTGAACAGAAACAGTCAGGATCAAAAAACTATAAATTGTTAATTAACTGACAGATAATTAATTAACTGATAGATGATGAGACATCAATTCTTTATTTGAATATTAAGCAGCAGCACATATTTCAAGAAGTCAAATTTTGGACTGTCTTGATGAACCATTTATTGTTCACATGTAGTCAACTTTTTACAAGAACATAAAAGGGCTAAAGTATTAAAGTAAAACTCTCATTTTTCAAACTGATTTATGAATGAAAAGCAAGAACGATTTGTGGCTTTAGCCATTTTTTTCCCCCAAAGTGTCAGGAAAGAGTTAATAACCGTCATATTCAGTGGCCGTAGAAGTTTTGGAGGCATTCAGTGGTTGTAAGAGCAGACAGATTTTGGTGAAGGTCAGGTGTATATCTATACCATGTGCTGTTAGACAAGGCATTCCATTCCAAAACTACACTTTGCAGTACTATTATGATAATACATTCTGTTCGTTTTATTTATGGAGGATAAGCATTGCTACAGTATAGAGTGCATGATTTCTTCCAAAAAGATAACAAAATCAAAAGATCTGAATTAACATTTTCTGGAATGTGATTAAAATCTAGTGCAATATATATATGCAAACTTCTGTTGGTTTATGAATAAAATTGCATTATAAAGGAATAATGTCCATCGCCTTGCCTTGTTAATGTTGACCATGCTTGTGTATTGTTGATAAACACTGGTTCGATGCTATTTTGGTGTGGGATTTTCCTGACACATATTTATATCGTAGACTGACGCACAAATAGATTAACGTAAGTTTGTCCTTGAATTGTGGATTTAAATCTTTTATTTTGTCGGATAAAAAAACCGAATAACTGCACTTTTCTAATAAAAACAAACCTTTTTTTTGCAAACACGTGTCATGGTTGTTTAGTCTGGGCAAAATGTGCAAGCCAGCAATTTTTTTTTTGTTTGAAAAGGGGTAAAGGATGCAGACAGCCAGTGTGTTATCTGAATCATAGAATATTTATTTCTTGAAATGACTTTGAAGAATTAAAACTTTCTTGTACAATTTGTTATGTCTGTGTGGTGAGGAAGAGACCTACTTCAGGATGTCGTGTTTGTTGATTGACTTACATTTGTGAGTTGTTCAAACATTGTTTGGAATGTGGTGGAAAATCATTCAGATTTTGGGGTGAGACATCATTAATTTAATTCAATTTTGAATAGCTTACACAAGATGGAACAAATTAACCTAGATAATGCTTCCCCTGCAGTCTTTAAGTAACATACACTTTTTTTTTTTATTTCTAAGCAGTAGCATAACTTGTATGATTGTGACTGCAGAATTTTTTTTTTCTTGACAAAATGTTTTAAATGCCTTTCACAGCAGAAGATGTCTGGCCCCTGTGACCTGATATAGCACTCAAAAGACCTTCTAATATTGGGAAAGCCTGGGAAGGCTGTGGGTGGTATAATGCTCAAAGATGTGTGGATGTCAATTACGAGACTCCTGAATTGAATAATATGACAGACAGACACCTCATTAACAGCATTCGTTTTTTCAAAAGGCGAGTTGCAGAAGCATGCAGCCTAAATTGCGGGAGCATGCAGCGTAGATCAGAGAAGCATGCTGTAGAGAACAGCAGGTGCTTGGGAGTGAAAAAAAAAATTCATTTATGATCAGTACTTTTAAGTGAGAGGTTCTGTCAGTGGTTTACGAGTTCCTCAGGACATTGACCTAATTACCTGCATCACATGCTAATTATAGCCTGCTTTTGGATTGTATACCTTCAAGGTATATATAATATTGACAATGAGTGCTGTGAATATGTACCTCTGAGGTATACTTCAATTAACACATTAATTAGTTTTCATGGATGTTGATTGTGGTAGTGTTTAAAGTTAAGTGTTTAAATACACTTGGTGTAAATAGTTGAATGTTCATGCTACAGTAAGGATTTTGGATACCTGTGATTTGTGTATAGTTATGGTAGCCCAGGATTTTTATTGTTTACATATGTAAGTATATTTAAAGGCAATCACTGAGATTTATTGTGCAAGAAATTATATAAAAGGCTGATCAGTATTTTAATTAACATAAGTTCTTCTTTCTTATGTAAAAAAGGATTTAAATTTTATTGAAAGACTTTTTTTTTTTCAAAGGATATGATTTTGTTTTATAGTAGGTAAATTATTGTAATATAGCTGAACAGTAATACACTTCAAAATGTGTATCAATGACATTACATGAGGATTGAAATAAAAAAAAAACAATATGCACATGTCAGCATAAATAATTTGATGTACAGAAAATGCAGAGTAGGATTTTATATATCTCTTTTTTTTTGTATCTCTGTGGCTTGTTTGTCCTTCGCCAACCATGCGTGATTAGGATATCCTATGGTGAATCATAATATTCCGACTGTGTGTGCATGTGTACGTGTGTCGAGTCAGGCTTTTCCATTGGTTATCATTATATTATACCTCAACTGAAGAGCAATCAATACTTTGTCTTTGTGACATTTTATTATTGATTATTTTACTGTGACCTTAATCTTTCCTAGTAGTGCACTGAGAAATTTTTAACTCCCAAGTGCTTATATGGATTTAAAAAAAAAAAATCATCATTGCACTGAAAGCTAGAAAACAGATTGACAAAGGTTTGCTGTATTAATGAGGTTTTACTGTTTAAAAAAATGTGTTTATGTAGTCTGTGACCTGTTTGTGCTTATAATTTGCTTCCCTCTCCTTTAACGATTTCATTTGGGGTTTTTTTTTTTCAATAGTGAACAAAGAAAAGGGTTTAAATTCTGGACAATATTGAGAGCACTCAGTGCTGTAGATTGTGGCTTTGTGTGGCTAGTTTACCTGGAATTTAAAAGTTGGATTACCTGTTATCAAATATATCTAACCAGGTATATATTGCTGACCAGTCAAGCATTTCTCCAAGTCTGTTATCAAACTGCTGAATAATCCAGGTCAAAAATGATATATCCCATAGTCTATTAATAACAGCAGATTATGTCAAGATTTCATATGTTATGAGGAGTGAATTTCATATAGACAGGTTTGTGTATGGTTTTACTTACTAATGTTAGCAGTATAAACTGTGTGTTTATAGAAGTCTAGTTGTAAGAATTAAGACTTAGTTATAAGGAGATTAAGATATTTCCTGTATTGTTATGTATTACAGTGTCACAATGATAAACATGCCTAGTATATATTGTGGGTAGGGGGTTTTGCTCTTGATTGTACTCTTTTCTAATTAATATCAGGTGTCACAGTTTTTAAAAATAATTTTAACACTGATTTTCACCATTTTTTACAGAATGCCATACTAAAAACTTAGAATTACTGTGCGATTGATTCAAATGATTGTAAATACAAGTGTATCGAATAAGCTACTATTGTATCTCGGTGTATGAAAAAAAGTTCAAACTGCATGAAAATATAAATAAGATTTGTTTTGTAACAGTTATTGCACAAGTTTTTTTGTTTCATTTAAAAAAAATTCTGATTAATTGCTTAAAGTAATTGTTTGAATTCCATTCGATGAAAGTTGTAGTGCAGCACGTGGTTTTGTTGTTGTTCACCATGTAGGGGATTTCCAATTATTCTATTTATAGCTTGTTGTGTTTACAGTGTAACGCGTGGTAGGTCGTTACACAAGGAGGAAGACTGGTGCTCTGAATATCGTAATAAATGATGAATAAATATTTTTCATCCTATTGTGCTTCACTATAAAATTGAAGTCAGTGGTGGATTTTGAAAAATGATATAAAAATATATTTTTTAATAAATTTTCAGAAACCTCGTATGATGGCAGCACCCCCGAATGGATTTTTCTCACATCATCAATCATTGGTGAATCCGCATTACAGTAATGGATTTCAACAGTATCTCATGGAGCCACCAGGAGCAGCAAATTTCATTGCAACATTTTCTTCGGCTCTGCCATCTCAGAGCTCCCCTCTCGGATTCTCGGTATCTCAGACTAGAACGACACAATCAAATCTGACCCCATTTAGCAATTTTCCCTTTTCAAAGCCCAACAATCTGAACATGCCCTTTCCCCTCTCATCTCTTCCAAAAAATGACCCCTACAATTTCTCCGATGAGTTGTCGCTGAAACGTAAATTAGAAGATAATTATGGGCAAGTTCCTAAAAAGAAGAAAGTGAAAAACAGTGGAGAAAAATTGAATGGACATGTAGATAAAAGTAATTTAATTAAAACCAAAAATGTCAAAAAAGTTATCGAGACTAATGCTCTCTCACTGAATGAAATCGAAGACAGAGTGCAAAATATTTTGAAATCAATACAAAGAGAATGTAGTTTTAAGGAACCAAAAAATGTGCAATTGAATAATATACATAGTCATTCCACTCAAGAAAAGACCAAAGAGGATACAAATGGCTCAAATTCTGTGGACATTTCGAAAGCAAAGGGTGAAACCAAAGTAAATAATTTATCAGAAATACCTATGAAAAGTGCTGAAGAAATTCAACTTGAAAAACTGATGGGTAATTCTATGGAAATGGAGGGTCGTAAAACTCCACCAAACTGCTGCACGAATTGTGAGAAACTTGGATTCCGAAACTCCCCTCAGTGTCTCAATAAGCGTTCAGGAGCAGAAGTGGATGTTTACGACTTTGAGGACGACGACGAAGATGTCTCAAATCACTCAGATCCCAAAAATCGCTCAAGAATCGAGGCAGCAAAGGCCAATATATTTAAAACTGAACATCAGGAAAAACAAGGTGATGAAATTAAGGTCGAATTAGATAATCATGATTCAGAAAAGGAAAATTTTTGTGAAAATGAAATATGCGACGAGTCAACAACGTTTACTACAAAATTACAAAAATCTGATCTCAAAGACGAAGGTAGTGCCAAACTGGATCTACTCTCTGAACACATTAATAAGCTGAAAGGGACGGTGACAGAGGATGAGGAGCACTTGGATAGACTCAGGAAAAACATTAAATCTGAGATGCCGATGTGTAGCTGCAGGGGCCCAGATTGTAAGTATTCATCTCTACTTGTGTTTGAAGTATGTTTCTTTTTTTTAAAAGGTCAAGTTTCATATATGGTTTTCTAGTTATTTACTGCTTAAAGATTGTGTACTAAAGGATTTAACTGTTGTGCACATGTCCTTTTTTTGGTGCAAGTGTAAAATATGCTGTGAATGGTATAGAATAAATTGTAAATGATGGGATTTTGAAAAATGTAGTGATTAAAATGGTATAAGCATTATGAATATGAATTGAATGTATTTTCAAAATAATAGCAAGTATAAATTACACACTTTCAAACAAAAAGCAAACAGTAAATTGCTTTGTATTTATGAACTAATTTGTTTTGAAGAATAATTTTTTTCTCTAATAATGTAATAAATTAGGGGTGTATTAAAAAAAAACAATCTTATAAAGGAACATTCCTACGAAGAATCTAGAAGTTCATTAATAAATGGAGTAGTGTTTGATCAATTGCCATGATTGCTTAAAGAGCATATAAATCTTAAAAGAATAACAAATACATCAGTCCTGTGATCCAATTATGAAGGGTTGACTTAAAATTTGTTAAAACATTCAATTTTTTAATTACTTAGTTCTCTTTATTTCCAGATATTCCCACAGAGGATAATGAGGGTCCTTTTTACACACATCTTGGAGCGGCGCGAAGTATTCAAGCTGTGAGGGAACTCATGGAAAAGAGGTACGAATTTCATAAGAATTGTCAAGATATATGTTTTATGCAGTCCTTGTCTGTAAGCCATTAATTAAAAAAATCTGCACATATCAGAAATACAAAATATAATGCCCATGATGGATGTTATTTCAGTAGGTAAAGAAAGTTTGAAAAAAAAAGCAACAAAATTTGACTAGTTGACATGAACATTTTTTTTATTCGATATGAGAGGGAAAAGTGAAAACATTGGAATCTTATATATATCTTGGTTAAAGCCATGAACAACCTAGTTAGATTGAAACTTTTTTCTGTTCTTAATTTTTTTATGCATAGATTTTAAGGAACTGGGTGTTTATTTTTTTAATTAATTTAAAACAAACAAACAAAAACATGGACTAAACTCCTGGATTAAAAGGATCAGTAAATAGTTCACCCTTCCCTCTGAGCAACTTTAGTTCATTCAACATGTTCAACAATTAGTACTTTTTGTAACAATGTAGACGTTGTATGCCAATTGTAATCATGTCATCAAAAGACAATTAGAAGGACATAGACGTAGAAGGGTTTACACATTGATCATTTTAATATTTGCTTTGGACATAAATGCGGATCATAATATTTACTGAAAAAATTAAGAAGTTTTGATTTTGTTCCCTGTTATTGTAAGTCTTAATGCATTTCTAGGTAGAAGCTACCAAATAAACTGTAGTCGGATATAAAACATTTATAGCTATGTACAGTAAAACTTGTTGAATCCGGATGTTGTGCATTCCGGCATGTTGTTCAGTCCGGCGTAATATTTTAGTCCCTTGAATTTTCTTTATAATTCATGTTTAATAAATGTTGTTCAATCCGGATCTTGCCTATTCTGTAAACCGGCCGCTATTTAAAGAACTAACTGCTCATAATTAGTACAAATTATCTCCTCTAATCCGGCCACTTATTTTTACCTGTGCCCGCTGGTCATTAGAGAAGTCTCGCGTGGGGTAATTACTGTTCCGTTAATGATCTATCCTGAATCGACAGTTTAGATTTTAACAAACGTGATTAAAAAAAATCATTATGGCTCAAGTAAGGCGAGGAAACTCTCAAAAGAATGAGTGATAATGATGGTTGCGTGTAGCATGTCTGTACAAAAACTTGGAGACTTATTCATGACCTTCTTTCTACTTTCGTTTTGCGTGCACGACGTGCAATTCGAATTACTTCCCTTTGTGTCGCTAGTTTACAACGACCATAACGACATAAGATTTTGGTTAAATATTCATTACATGTATAACATTTGAAATTAACAAATACAGTGTCTAAATATTCAAACATTGATTTTAAAAGAAAGAAATTAATATATTAGGAATCTGTTCCTAACTAAATAGTATTTACAGCTACGATGAAGTTTTGGGGTGTGTTTTAAACATTTAACGGTTTTCAAATTTGATAAATGTCCAAGAGATATTATATTTCGATACTGAATAAAAAACTTAAACAGAAATGGAAATTCTGAAGAGTTCAAAACAAACGGAAATAGATGATTTTTTTAAGTGAAACGTAAAAAATGACACATTTGATCAAGTATTTATTTACCACTCTTTGTTTATAATATAATTTTTAACTTGCTATAACGGTTCAATTTTCTCCAATCCGGATGTTGTCTAATCCGGCCTAAAATTTTGGAACCACTGGTCGCCAGATAAGACAAGTTTTACTGTATTTCTGACATACAAGGACTGTATTGTGTTGTCAAAAGGAGATTTTCATATTCAAGTGTAAAATGGTCTAAATAATTTAAATATTTGATTGCACTAATAGGAATATATTTATGCTGATTTATGACAGCATCTAGTAAAATTTTGTTTGGAGATAAACATAGACAAAATGTTATTCTTTAATTATCGTTTAGTTGCACTAAAACTAAACCCCCCAAAATGTTATGTATCAGAAAATACAGATGTTTATTTATGAGACAATTCCTGTCAATGTTTGTAAATCAATTTTTCTGACTGTTTTAGAACTGGGGAGATGGGGAGAAGTATTCGTATAGAGAAGATCCGCTATACTGGAAAAGAAGGCAAGAGTTCACAAGGCTGCCCCATAGCCAAATGGGTAAGGTTGATTTCATTCATTGTGGTAGGTCTGTAAATTTCCTTTAAATAAGGAGTAAGGGCTAAAATTACTTTGTTGTTTGTTAAATTTGAATTTAATTAAAAGAAGGAAATATACACACTACAAATCAATTTTTTTAGTGAATTATTTCCTGTCTATGAAATGTTGACTGTGTCTTTTGTAAGCTAGACCATAAAGGAAGAATTACTGAAGGGTAGTTTTTGAACAATTTATAACAGTAATTGAAATTAAAAAAAAAAAAAAACCTAAATTTATCAGTTCTAAAGGATTCTTAATTAAAATAAATGAGTAGATACTGGGCCCCAGCCATCATGTCAATGAGGCATAAAAAGCAGAAGTTGGTTTTATATTGTAATATATTTATTTGTATTTTTCTCTACAAGAAGTCCTACTTTTTCTTAATAATGTCTTTGACTAGATTTCAAGGAAAGATTTTTTTTTTTAGATCATCCGTCGATCTGGAGCAGAAGAAAAGTACTTGTGTGTCGTAAGACAGAGGCCTGGTCATTTCTGTGAAACAGCATGCATTATAACTGTCATAGTAGCATGGGAAGGGGTGCCCCAGAATACCGCTGATGATCTCTACCAGTATCTCAGAACATCACTTCCTACGAACGGCTTCGAAACAGAAAGAAGATGTGGTACCAATGAAAGGTATTGCTCTATAAGTGTAACATGGACCAGGGCTCGAAATAATTGATGGCCCGCTTGTCTGGGGCCAATGAATTTTCAGTCTGGGCTAGTACATTGCAGAGGGCAAGTGCCCTTTGGGTCAGCATTTTTTAATGCATAATAAGATTATTCACAGTAGGGCTAGTTAACTTCACAGGGTTTTGTGTCCAACTTCTACTGTTTCCTGTTTTGTTAAGTTGTAATTCTAAGTATCACAATATAAAAAAAATATTACTATTATTATTGTGGTTTAGGGCCATTCTTTTTAAAAACTACTGGCCCAGTGGGACAGTGAAAGTACTATGCTGACCAGTAAAAATTTAAGGCGATAGCCCGAGTCACCAGTAAACAAAAATAATTATTTCTAGCCCTGATGGACTGGACATTATGCTATGCGATGATTTATACTTCTGGGCGATAACAGGAAAAAAATTGATGTACTTTTAAAATGAATTAATTTGGCTCTAGGCACTTTGATAATCCAAGGTGTAAAGCCATTATTGACTTAGAAAAAGGAGTTTGGGTCTGGCTGTATATTTCCCATTACTGCCATTAACTGGGTGCCATTTTATTAGCTATGTAAGAGTTCATATATTTTTTTTTTTAAGTGTTTTACATTACATGCAGAGAAATAATTTAAATTGAATTTTCCCCTTTTTATGCATAATGCAGTACATTTCTTCTTCTCCTCAAGGAAATTACTCGTATTTTTTACATTGCGTGATTCTTACTGTGTAGAAATTTAATTTTAGAATCTATGTAGAACAATGAATTGCAGAAATCTTTGCATCAATATTGAAAGGGCTAGACAGAAAGGAAAATAATTTTTTTTAATGAAAAAAAAATCTGAAACCTTAAGAGAATCTTTTAATTAGCCCTCCATGGTAACTGCAGTACTGCTCTTTTGCAGGGCAAATTAATAACGTTTTTCTTGGCAGATAATTAAATGATGTTTATTAAACAATTGCTACTATGTCATATTTCACCAAACTGCACAAGTTTGGCCTGCAAAAGAGCAGTACCAACATTATCACGAAACAGTCCATTTATGCCATGAAGAAACAATTGCTTGTTAGCTTCTGTTTACAACACTATAACTATACCCTTCCTAAATCCTTCTTCATGATGGTTTCAGGCCCATAGGAAGCAATATCCGGGGGGGGGGGGGGGGGGGGGGGGGGTGTATCAACACTACCAAAAATTCCTTGACAAGCAAAAAAATTAAAAATTCCTCAGACGTTTTTATTGAGGGGGCCAAGCATATAGTAGCCATGTTTTCTGTAGTATTCTATATGTTGGCAATAGTTATAATGAAATATTCAGTAGCAATAGTAAAGTGAAAAGTAAATCTGTTTTTAAAAAAATAAGTTCAATTTTCACCAATTTGAAAAGCATATTAATTACGATAAGAAATTTATGTTCTTAGTCTCTCATATTATTGTGTTAAGCAATAGTTATCATCATAAATAAAGCCTATGTATATTTTAGGTCTGTGGAGACAGTTGTAAGATTATGGAAATATTTCATTTTTTTCTCTTTTTTCTTTTTTTTTTTTTTACTTTTTTTTGTCTTCATCAACAGAAAAACCTGTGCCTGTCAGGGTATTGATCTGGTTAGACGTGGAGCCTCTTTCTCCTTTGGATGTTCATGGAGTATGTATTACAATGGCTGCAAGTTTGCTCGAAGCAGGGAGGCTAGGAAATTTAAGCTCAAAGATACATCAAAGGTAGATATACAAAAAAGGATGATCGATGTGTATTATCTTTTTTCCATTAGAAATATCATTGGCTCATACATTTACCTCTGTCATTGGTTCACTAATATTGTGATTAGCCCAAAAAATTGTTTGTCTGTTTTAATTCTTTATAATTATATTTTTACTCAGTATATCTAGAGCTATTACTTTAATTTGTACTGTGTTTTCAATTTAAAAAAAAAAATTTCATGAAATTAATACGTTTGTTAACAACTTTAGCCTCATGACCTTGATGTGGAAGTTTGACCTACTTTTGAAAACTTTAACCTTGGCTTTGAGTTGCCAAACAGAGGCATCAGTGTTTCACAAACACATCTTGTTTATTATTGAAATACATTTAGGTGGCTTTTGACTTGAGGTTTTCTCAAGACAGATTTTAGATTTGGAATTTGATATTTCTTAAAATCAAAACAAAAATTTATTGTAGGAAGTTGAACTTGAAGGGAAGCTACAAGACCTAGCGACAAAGATGGGTCCACTGTATAAAAAGATGGCCCCTGATGCTTATTCTAACCAGGTAAGTGATGTTTCCATATTTAAAAAATGTTAGATACCTGCATCATAGATGAGTTATTCCAAAGTAGTTATACTGTAGATTCTTAAGGCTGGCAGAAATCAAATTTATGTTTGACGTCATCTAAAAACTTCACAACCTACAAGGGAAGGAGAAAAAAATTAAACAAAAATTTCAAACAAATGAGTATTTACTCCTAGGCACCTGATCCCACCTGTAGAATTTCCAAGGGTCTGTTTCATGCCCTGTCCACAGATGTGTATTGTCTGTAGATTTTTTTTTTAAATTGATCATTGTTCATTATGTTCATTATCTTCACCTTTTTCATTACATGTATCAAAATACTGTAAATATTTGTGGATCTTGAAGGTTTATTGTTCAGTGAATCTGTCAGTATGAATGATAGACTCATCTCAGATATACTTTATACAGCTCCAAAAAAACAGGGTTTTTTTTTTTTTTTTTTTTTGCTAAAAGTAAGACCTAAATGGAATGTAATTTTTAAAAATACCAATTTGTTTTTCCAAGTTCCAATTTCTCTGAAACCTATACATGGGTGACATTAAACATAAAATTAACTTTGGGCAGCCTAAATATACTTGAAGAATTAATAATCCTGTAATTTTGCTAAAAGCTTGCTCGCAAAATGAAACTTGCTCTTATTTTTATAGTGCTAAAACAGGTAAAAACTGTAGATCAGTAGTACACTTTCACGATTTGGCATCATTGAGTCAATTCAGAATAATAAGTATTCACAGAAAATGAGGAATCTACACTACTGCAGTAGTTTGTTAAAGGAGAAAAGTAAATGAGAATGCTTAGAAAGACTTTCTTAGTCTTACACAGCAATTGCAAGAAACTTGTATAATTATATTTTATTCCGAAGTAAACATCCTCTGCTGTATATATTCCAGACAAGGTTTGAAGACACAGCTAAGATGTGCCGTCTTGGACACGAGGAAGGGCGGCCATTTTCTGGGGTGACAGCATGTGTTGATTTTTGTGCTCATGCACACAAAGATCTGCACAACATGAACAATGGGAGTACAGTGGTAGGTTTGATTCTGCTCTAGCTTCTTTTTTGTTTGGCTGTTTAAATTTCACTTCTGTATCTAATTTTACCAACTATACCAAGTATACTATCCAAATCTGAATTCAGTCTGAAGTTGTTTCTGCGAAAGCTTTGATTTGAAATTAGAGATAAAAATTTAATAGAAGCGACTTAGAAATATTTTTCTTTAACAAATTCACTCATAAGTTGAATTGTAGATAAATAAATGTCATTTTCGTTCAGTGTCCAGTACAAGAATTCTGTTGCCTTGTAGGTTGTGACTCTTACAAAACATCGAGGTCTTGGAAAGCCTGATGATGAACAGCTTCATACACTACCATTACACGTGATGGATATGACAGATGAACATGGCAGCACTGAAGCTCAATTTGAGAAAGCTAGGAATGGTTCTCTGGAAGTGCTTCAGTATTATCCTATGGAAGCCAGAATGCGAGCTGTGCCCTTAACTCCCAAGAAAAAGAAGGGAAAGAAAGGAGGCTCAGTGCCTGCCAAAAAAGGAAGACCATTCAAAAACCCAGAAAATGCCCAGAAATCTTCCTCTTCTCCCACTGATCAAAAGCAGAATAGTGTTCAGGATGGAAACAGGGGTCCCTCTTTGCCTAGTAAATTCTCTTTCAATGAAAACAAACAGTTCTTAACTTATGAAGATATGATGAAACTATCTGAAGAGCCAGGTTTTGCCAATATGTATGATTCTTTTTGGAATTATTTCTACAAGTTTGGAACATTCCCTCCCCCAAATTTTCTACATTCAAATGAACTCAGAAACCAAATGGCCAGTATAACTCCATCTGTGATACCTACTAATTTATCATCGGACTCCATTAATACTCAGGGTCATCCCCATGGTGCTGAGAAGTCATATCAAGGTCAAGGTCAACCTCCACCTCAAACCCTTGACCCCAACACCAGGCAGCAGCCAGAAACCCCTCTTGACTTGTCATCCTCAGGGTCTACATCACACCTCAAGGCAGCAATTCATGAATCTGCAACTTATGCACCATCAAGTCAGTCACCTTTGGACATCTTGTCAGACGTTGTATCTATGATGCCCTACTGCAACACAAGTCTACCTCAAAACAATTACAGCAAAGATCAAACTCTGAATCAACAACATTCCAGCAATTGTGAACAAGCGTTCAACGATACAGAGGTTTCACCTGAGTCACTTCGGCAGTCATTCGATGACAAAGTAAAAGAAGCAGAAACTGCTGGTAGCCACATGAGAATTCTTGATCCTACAGTCGTCAAATGCGAGATGGAATATAATGAAAATGCTTTCCGTGATCCAGAGATAGGAGGAGTGGCCATCGCTTTGCAGCACGGAGCAGTATTGTTTGAAGTGGCCAAAAGAGAATTACATGCCACCACTGGTTTACGAAATCCAAATCGGTATGAACCTACAAGAATCAGTCTCGTATTTTATCAGCACAAAAATCTAAACTACAAGAACCATGGCTGGTATGAACACGAGAAGAAGTGCGAGATGCTGAAACAGAAACGTCTGGAGAAGATGCATTTGGAAACTAATAATTTAGTACCGGATAGTGTGAAAGAAGGAGAGAAGAAGAAAGGAAAGAAAGAGAAAAAAGTGGATTTTTCCAAGACGTCTGCTGCTCAGTACAAATACATGCTGCAAGCACCTGCAGCTAGTGCTGTCACTCTGACCACAGACTCGGTCATCACAAGATGGATTGATCCCCAGCCTATGGTGACTGGTCCTTATCAGAGATGGGTTTGAATTGTTTACGATCTGTAGAATTACAATTGGCTGGAAATTATTATTTATATTCATAAGTGCAGGAACAAACGAACATTTTTTTGAACAAAAAAAAGCCTTTCATCTACTTAAATGGAATTTCACCTCCATTTATTGCAAGGAAAAAAAAAATGTTTGATAGAAAACGATTTTCTCTAAAAGTGTTCATTAACTGTTTTCTTAAATGTTTTTTTTTAAAGGATATACATATATTTTGATGTTTTTTGTGCTATTAGGTGGCAAAAATTTATGCTCTCAGCCTTCAGATATATTGTTCAGGATAACAACATCGTATTTATTACAGATACAAATTCATATAGGGCAGCAGATTCAGTATTGTTGTGCATGTACAAAGTAAGAATACATGTGTACTGAATGCAGGTGAATTTTATACTTGATTTATTAAACATGCAATACATATATCAATTTTGTAGAGTATCACCTAATATTGTATTAAAGATCCTAAAAGATGTATAGGGGTTTATGATGATTACGGTAACCCAAATTTAAGGGTATCACTTATAGATAATATATACTGATATTTCTGCTGATACAAAGTAATGCTGCATGTTCTTATTTTTTGTTATTTTATATTGAGGTGTTGCAATTGAAGTTGTTCTGTACTGATGTTTTTTTTTTCTCTTGAAAATTTTTCAGATTAGTGCATTTAACTTCTGAATTTTTGCTTGCTTTTTAAGTGTTGAAAATATTAAAATATTTATATTTATTTATTTTCATGAATGGATCTTATGTGAAAATTGGTTTAAAGAATTCCAACAGTGATTTCTTCAAATGTAAGAGAAAAGTGCACCTTTTGGCAATTTTTCTATTTTATCTTGTTTGTTTAGAAGTAGAATTTTTGTTAAGTTTATTAATTGTTTTTTTTTTTACATTTTTGCTTCAGTCTTAAGTCTGTGATTTTATTTTGGGCAACAGTTGAAAAGCCTTGTACATGTAAATGAAATGTTATCTAAATAATCAATTTTTAAGACATAATGAATGGATTTTACAATAATTATCTTAAAATAATATGTACATAGAATATTTTGTATATAGTATTCATATTATTTTATTAATGAGTTCAGAATTCCCATGTTTATTGACCATTCTCAGGGAAATGTAAACTTTTTTTTTTTTTTACATCAGCCTACCTGCTGATTATGCCAGTTTATTTAAATCACTTTATAGTTCTGTGATTTCAGAATGCTGTAAGCAATATGCTATGATATTCTTAACAAAGTGCTAAGCTGCATATAGGTACTATTTTTTTAAATCTGCTTTTTTTCCCCTTTTGCTATTTTGTCTCATGTTTTCTGAGAAAAATTCTGTTTAAAGTTCAACAAATTATTTCTTTATTTAAGATGATAAAATTTCTTCTCCATTATTATGTAAAAAGAACTCTAATGCTGAAATCCATTTGTGATACACTATAATATCAACATTCCCCGATTAAAATTTTATTATTTTAGAAAATTTATTTAATATACAAAATGTAGGGCAATATATTCATGTTACTCTTTAAAGGACAGATAATACAAACAAACAAACAAAAATTGATGTCTGGATTGATATATATTTTTGGGCTTATTTTGGTTATAAATGATACAAATATCACATTTCTAAAATATTAAGAAATTGTCAACTTTTTATGAAGTTCCAAATTCTGCCTTCCTTTCTGCAGTAATCCCTATAAATCTATCCAACGTTTCATCACTTTTATAGGACATTATTGTGATATTAAAATCTTTATGGTTTTAAGTTATTCATTTTATTTATATACAAATGACTTTTCTTATTTTCATGATTTTTGAAAAAAAGTTTGTATCATCTGTCCTTAAAATAATTGCTTTGTGGTCTGATAGAGTGAATATGAAAGACCCTGATTTTTTTTCTCTTATGTACAATAATTGGGTGAGTGGGGGTGAAATGTTTGGCTGAAGTATTATTATTTTTTTATTCTTGATAGTGCTTTACTGACTTTCACGATTTGTCTCAGGTTAAAATGACTGTCCTTTTGGATCAGAGAATGATGTAAAATCTATTGCTGATTACAAGTGGAATCAACAATATTTAATTTATAAAATCTAACTTATAAAAAGTGCCCTTTTATGTTTTTTTTTTAAGTATCATTTTTTATGAAAAAAGCTTTTGTGTAACATGTGAATTGTAAACGTAGTGACTAGGCAGACATTATAGTAATTTGTGTGGAACTTGAATATTGTGAAAATTGTTTGTGTTGTTAGTGTGCACAGATATCTAAAACTTGTAAACATTGATTAATGAGCAGCAGTTCATCTCTTTTTGATAAATATGGACATGATGTCCAAATATATTATACAGAATATGGTTTAAACCGTAATGGAAATAGCTGTTTCTCATAAATATTTGTATGTTAGTGTAGATAATATAATTTAATGGAAGTATATATTGATATATATGACTTAATTATTAACAGTCTATAGATTTAAACAGAATCGTGGTTCTGTTTTGTCCAATAAAAGTCATCAAAATGAATTCTGTATCTTTTTTTTTTTCTTTGAGGTGTAACCAGCAAGGAGAAGAATGTGATGGACCAGATTCAAACATAGGCCCCCAAAATTACTAGTCAGGTGCTCTAACAACAGAGTTATCTGGCCGCTGGCGATCAGACCTGTTTGATTGCCACATTCCGTCCTCCTTTAAGGTCTTCACCCTGAAGACACCAACCCAGGCTCTTCCCTGGCAGGTCTTTCATCTGTCACGGCACCAAATGTAAACACTAAAAAGGAGAATACTGTAAACCAACTATTATTCGCGTCATCTTTTATTCGCGACTCGTCAGTTTGAAATCAATCCGCGACGATTAATTCTTGCGACTGAGGAATATTCTCTACAAATGCAAAGCAAAATAAATGGTTCACGGCGATTAATATTCCCGAGTAAAAGTAGGTCGCGAATCTCGCGGATATTTCTCGCACGCAAATAAAAGTTGGTTTACAGTAATGTGATGGAATAGACCAATTTAATTGAAAATGCATACTAGATATAAAAACAGATTTTCATACTGTAAGTAGAATAATTTCTATTCACAGAAAAAAAAAATTGGATAAAATTGTTTTGAGTATAAGTTTTCTGCAAATTTTAGTTATGGTAGTTGCTAAGTTTAGTACTTGGTCAGAGTTACCTTTTTGCTCACCTGAACTATTCTGAGATGTAGGGCATCGGTTCCTCTGTAAACTTTTCACATTTTTTACTTTAACAGAACCAGAGCAAATTTTAACAAAACTTGCTACAAAGCATTCTTTGGTGAAGGGGATTCAAGCTTGTTCAAATGAAGAACTACATCTTTTTTCTAGGGGAGATAATTCAGAATTGGTTATAATTGGCAGCATCTTTTAAAAAATCGACCAGAGAAGATGAAACTTGATGCATGAAAGCTTCCCAAAGTGTATGAGGGTTGTCTCACTAAATCGTAGACTAAACACCTAGCATTTAAAGGAACATTTCATATTTCAATAAAATTTTCACCATGTTTTTGACCATGAGTTCTTGGTAAATATCTGAATTATGATTGACAAAAAATAATGAAGAAAATATGAGATTTTTAAAGACACTTTATGCACAAGAGGTGCACAGCATAAAATGTATATTCATGCATTTAAAAGGCGTTAATAATGAAGTAATTCTTCAAATTTTCAAATATTTAACATCACATTTTATAAAATTATTGGCTTTTGAAGTGGGAAAATTTAATACATGGATTGATGATGATTCTTTGCTCGAAGGAATGCCATAAGAATGGGATAAATCTGGAATGACACTGATAATAAAGATTATTGCAGAACACAGATTAAAAAAAATGTTTCTTAATAATTGGTTTACATTGAAGATTTAAAACTGAACTGTTAAAAAATGCAACCCATGGGCGACATAAGCACAAAGCTATAACGTTCCACAAGTTATTGACGTTTACCAAGAAACTGAAAAAAAAAGAAGAGCAGATTGGGTTGGCGTGGTACATGTAAGTTGTGAAAACTTTTTGGTGAATTTTGTTAGGGAGATTGGAATGATATAAACTATGATGATATTCAATAGGAGTTTCAATTTGATTTCATATATGTGTTGATATATATAGCCATCAAAAAGATATTATGCATGCTAGAGAAAATTCTACAACAGTGCACTTTTGAAAATATAAAAAGTCCTGTCCCACTCATGAAATAAATTCATAAAATATTGAAATATCCTCTTTATATAAGTAAGTTTGCTTATAAGTCAGTTGTACTTGGGAGAAATTTGCCATTGACCCACTTATTTTTGCCAGAATCTGTTGCCAATTTCAGATCAATATTCTATTCCACACATTGCAAAAGTTGTGTCCCTTTGCAGGGTCAAAAAAAAGGAAAAGAAACAAAATTTCTCCTACCAAACATTTTGGCATACTCAGTTAAATCCATTGCATTTAAAATTTTTTTTAATGTATGGGTAGCCCCATCCTGGGGCAACCAATATTCAAGCTGCACAGATTTTTTTCCAGTCAAATGACAAAGTTAAAAACCCCAAAGATGGCAGTCAAGGGACATGACTTTTGAACAAGAGGCCCACGGGCCTTATAGGTCACCTGAGTATCATGCAACAACTTTCCAACAATTGAATTTGGTTCATGTTTTAAACCAGAGGCCATGAAATTCACAATTCTGAAAGAGGCACCTCTGCTAATCATAACTACACACTTGGCATGCTTACTTTGATTACTTAATACCCAGAGGCAGATCAGAGGAACAAAGAAAAATGCATTTCCACTATATAACCAGTAGTGCCCCACTCCACAGGAACCACTGACCCTGGGGCCACATATTTCACAATTTTCAAAAAGGCACCTTGCTCATCATAAATGGTTGATTAATACCAAAGAGCAGATTTCAAAGCATTAATTCATTTTCAGTATATGATCATTAGAGCTTCCCCCCCCCCCCATGATACCCCTGACCAAGGGGCCATAAAATTCATCATTTTGGGAGAGGCACCATTCCTCATTATAACTATTTACTTAGATCATCAGCATAATTCCCAGGAGCAGAGGAGAAGATTTTCAAAGAATTAATGCATTTTCACTATATAATCATTAGAGCCCCGTCTAACACCAGAATCCCTGACCCAGGGGCCTTGAAATTCTAAATTCTTGAAGAAGCACCATTGCTCATCATAACTTTGTAATTAGATCATTGGCATTATACCCAGGAGCAGAGGAGAAGATTTTCAATAATTAATGCATTTTCACTATATATATCATTAAAGCCCCATCCCAACACCAGAACCCCTGACCCAGGGGCCGTGAAATTCACAATTTTGGAAGAGGCACCATTCCTAATCATGTACATAGTTCATTGGTTTAATACCCAGGAGCAGAGGAGAAGATTTTTAAAGAATTAATGCATTTTCACTATATAATCAATAGAGCCCCACCTTAATACCAGAACCCCTGATCCAGGGGCCATGAAATTCACAATTTTGGAAGAGGCACCCTTTCTCATCATTACTATGTACATAGTTTATCAGCTTATTACCCAGGAGCAGAGAAGATTTTCAAATTAATTCATTTTTACTATATAATCATTAGAGCCCCACCCTAACACCAGAACCCCAACCCAGGGGCCATGAAATTCACAATTTTGGAAGAGGCATCCTTCCTCATCATAACTATGTACATAGTTCATTGGCTTAATACCCAGGAGCAGAGAAGTTTTTTAAGAAATAATATATTTTCACTATATATTCAACAGAGCCCCACCCTAGCACCAGAACCCCTGTCCCTGGGGCCATGAATTTCACAATTTTGGTAGAGGGCTCATTGCTTATTACAATCATGCCAACAGTTTGACTGGTTGATGTCCAGGAGTAAAGAAGAAGATTTTTGAAGATTGCACTAATTTTAGTGGTTTTGGCCCCACCCCTCACGCCCCAGGGGGGCAGGGACCATGAAATTCACAAATTTTGTTTCCCTTCACCCATATCTGCCATATGCCAAAATTGGTTGAAATTGGTTGAGCGGTTTCAGAGAAGAAGCTGAAAATGTTCAAATGTTAACACACGACGGACGAAAACAGATAGCAATGGGTCACCTGAGTGACTCAGGTGACCTAAAAATGTGGATTCAACTTATTGTATTTACTTGCATTTCACAGTATGTATTAGGGTATGACATCATATTTGTTTATAAATGTCGGACCTCATGTACAGATGGAGGGAAGGGGGTTAGCCCCCCAGGCAAGCTTATAATAATTTCATAGTTATTTTACTGTCCTCATAGCATGTACTCTTCCCTTTTCATTTCTTGTCATCAATTCACACAACCTCACATATTTTGCATGATTTTATTGTTCAGCCAAAAACAGGATCCCTCAAATACAATCTAGGTTTCTATAAAATGTAAAGTAACACATTCTAAAATGTATACATTAATTAAGAGATTCTTAACATTAGGAACATTTTTAACAATAAGATGAAAGACAAACATATTGTGTGGAAGTCCAATATGCAGAAAAACCACTACATTTTATAACATTAAGTTACCAGTACATAAATTTCTTTAACCTGAGTAAGAATTTGTAAATAAAAATAAAAATATATGTGTACACACAGGTACAATAAAAATTACCGGTACTTATTTCAATGAAAATTAGAATGTTTGAATATTTTTGATCCAATGTTTATCTTTACTTGTGATATAAAGTCACTGCAGGATATATCATGCCTGACTTTTGAATATAGATCAAAATACATGTACATAAATATAGCCTACAAATTTACACATACGAGATTCAGGAAATAACACAAGAAGTTGTATAAATGAATACACAATGGCTAAATTAACAATGTCACCCAAATTTTCTGTAAAAATAAATAATTCCTGCTCAAGTTGATGAACTGAGGAATCTCCCGATGGAGAGTCGAACGATAAACAACCTCAAACTAAGGCCAGGGGGCCGGCTCCTGATGCTGGAGGACACACATAGAATGTCGCCGTCTGACTGTAGCGCTTCTAAAAGATCACAGATAGAAGCAAATTATAAATAACAACTTTACATCATATAATACTGACATAATTTCTTTCAAATTAATCATTTGGTAAAGATCAGAGGCCTGTTCAACAGAGCAAACACTCGCGAGCGAACATTTCTGTTGGAAAAATCAGAAATTTAGGCAAGCGCTCGCGAAAGTTCGCTCTGTTGAACAGGCCTCTGGTATCTGATTCAATAAGTTGTTTTCCAGAGATTTAAATAATAAAACATCTTCCTGTGATTCATAACATTAAAAGAAATTTTACACTAGATGTGTCAGGGTGACATGAATGCCCCCGCTGACATGCAAGTTTTACACATATGAAAGTCCAAGAGTGTGAAAATGGCACAAAAATAAATTACATTCTGCTGCTTTTATTTTCTGGAATCAGTTGTCTATACCACAATATGCTTTAGCTGCAAGGAATGGTGATCACTTACATTTAAGGAATGAATTTAATAGCTACCCAAGTTATACTGTATAACTTGGGGCAGTTCACACTTTATAAACCGTGAAGTGGTTTATAAAAAAGTTTAAACTGTTCTAACCCAGGTAATACAAGTATAACTTAGGTAGCTATTACATTCGTTCCTCATAATTTAATTTTCCATCATTAAGTGTATAAAATAAGACAATTTCTCCTTCAATAATTCCTTCAAATTGTACATGTTTTAAATGCAACGTCAAGCGGATTGATACGTTTTTGAGGTAAGTTGTGACAATGGCAACACAGATTATATGACATAAACTATTTTTTTTTATCCAATCAAATGACACATTACAACTAATATTAAATTATTAAAAGTTGCAACAAAGGTCCTAAAACAGTGAATATTTTGAAATTTTGAAAGTACCGGTATAAGGGTCATAACTTTTTAAAAAATTGGTCAATCATCACAAAACTCATATTTGATTGATAAGTCATCAATACAAAGAGACAAACCAAGGATCATTAACTATAAGAACAGCAAAAAACAAAGTCCTGAAAACAGTAAATTAGAAATTTTTAAAGTCTAATGGCCATAATTTTTTTTTAAAAATGGGTCATTCAACATGAAATTCAAACTTGATCTGTAAGTCATCAATATCAAGGGACATGTCAAAAATCAATTCATTATCTATAAGCACAGCAAAAGAAACCCCTTAAAACTGTCAATTATAAGAAATTATCAAAGTCTAATGGCCATTGCTTTTGTTAAAACTCAGTCTTGATCTGTAAGTCATCAATATCAAGAGTCATACCAAAAATCAGCTCTTTATCTATAAGTATATAGCAAATCAAGATTTGTTTGTGAAACACTGATGCCCCCATATGGCAGCTCAAGGCCAAGGTTTGAGTTTTTCAAATGTACTGTAGGTCAAAGGTCAATGATTCAAAAATGTGGAACTCAAAGAAAGGTCTTGTCACAAGGAATATATGGGTGAAATATGAAAGCCCTAGCACCAACCATTCAGAAAATATGGCAAAGGTTTAAGTTTTTCAAAAGAAGACCATATTTCAAGGTCATGGTCATAAGGTAAAATAATATTGGTACCAATGGAAAGGTCTTGTCACAAGGAATACATATGAGAAATATGAAAGCCCTAGCACCAACCGTTCAAAAGTTATAGATAATGTTGAAGTTTTTACCAATGTAGGTCAAACTCATAGTCAGGTCAAAAATGTTGCAAAGAGAGGTCTGGTCACATAGAATACACATGTGAAATATAAAAGCCATAGCACTAATCATTCAAAAGTTATGGCCAAGGTTATAGTTTGGTAAAATTTTGAAAAAGGAGGTCAAACTTCAAGGTCAAATATATTGATACCTAAAGACAGATCTTCTCACAAGGAATACACATGTGAAATATAAAAAAATTGAATCTGTTTGGAAAAGGAACTGAAAATTATGACAATCAAAAACCTACAGGCACCTGGCAATTGCTAGATCTTTCCTTTCATTGCAACTAATTGTTCACAGTAGCTCAGCTGGTAGAGCGCTCGCTCAGTGATCGGAAGGTCGTGAGTTTGAATCTCGGCCACGACTGACCTAAGTCAATAAAAAAATGGGTAGCAACTGTTCCTTCGCCATACGCTCGGCACTTTGAAGTGAGAGTTGCGGGTCCTTCGGATGAGACCTTAAAAACCGAGGCCCCGTGTCACAGCAGGCATTGGCACGATAAAGATCCCTCACTGCTCAATGGCCCTGAGTGCAGATTAAAGGTCAAAATTTGAAGCCCTTCACCGGTATATGGTGACGTCTCTAAATGAGTGAAAAATTCTTGAATGGGACGTTAAACAACATACAATCAATCAATGCAACTAACCCGCAACTCCCATTAATGGAAAAAAAGATGGGTACATCAAGCAAAATGTCTAACTTGTAAAACAATCTCAAGATTACATATAGGAAGATTCCAAATTAAGGCAATTCCCAGTTCACTTGAATCATATAACCAGAGCAGTATAAATATGATAAAGTAACCTGCTTAGCACTTACAAGTAATTATCACAATAAAAACACCTGCAAGAATGATTACACATCAACTAAATATAGCAGTGCATTACAATCATGCAAATCATGATAAATGAAGAAAAACTCGGATTATATATTTTCTTAGATATATTATCAAGTACTAACATTAAATTATTGTTCCTATACGTGAATAAATTTTCAAATAAAATTTGAGTTGTTAATTAATTAAATATCTGTTACCTATTCAAAATATATATATATGGAGCAGAAAAAAAAATCCCTATTTCAACTGAACATGTGTACATGGCTATATAATTAATGAGACATGTATGCATATAACAAGTGAGACAAGAAATTTCTTTCATGAAATACATATACAGTAGTTGTACTGGTATGCTAACCTTTAGTTTGACAGATAACATTATGGACAATTTAGGCTCTGAATCTTGCTGCCTCAAGCTGGATAATTAATCCCATAGGACAATCTCATTCTTTTTCTCTTATCTCTTGTTTACTAAATTCAATTTTCAAATTTCTCTTGAATCAGATATTCTTTTAATTAAATACGTTGTACATAAAATCAAATTAAATACCATTGTCAAAGATTCTTTGATTCACTAACTTCAATTTTCAAATTTCTTTTGAATTAGAAATTCTTCATCAATTCAAATTAAACAAGATTGTCAAAAAACACCTTTCTGTACTTGTAGGCATAAATTGACTTTAGTTTTCAATGCTCAAAAGTAAAAACTAATAAGAACCCATTCCTTGCATTTTAGTAAATAAAGATTGGTCAGTGCAAATTCTTACTACACAAAGAATTAAACATTTGTTTGCAAGCCATCCACAATGAAACAGGCATGATATTTATCAGTGATTAAACTAAGACATTGTTAGCAAGCATGGCTATAAATGGACACTTAATTTGACAGATCGCATTAAGAACCAGTTAGACTCTGAATCATGCTGAAGTTGCTTACTAAAGGTGACCTTGACCTTAAACTTTTCACCATTAAATTGATATAAATGTTGTTTTATTTTTAACAATAGCTGTGAGAGAATAATATATATTAATCATTTTCAGGCACTTTTGTCTTTCAACCACAATTTCCAATCTGTCATAGTGACCTACATGTACACCTTTGAGATAAGTTATGTAGATCTTCCTCATGACTTTAGCATTTAGAAAGTGAAGAAAAACAAAATAACATTTAAAAGAAATCAAACTCCAGATACACCCCCGAATATAATTCATCGTTAAAACGTGATGCTGCCCTTGATCTTTAAACCACGATCTTGTGATTTTCCACACATAATTTATTCAGTATATGAAACATTACCTCAATACACCAATCAAATTACTGAGCAGATATTATACCCTGAAACTGTATGAAAACAACTGGTTTTGCTCTTCCCCATATCTCCGTTCACTGACCTGTATATGTTGAATAGCCTTCTCCACTGCCTCCTTCTTCAGTAGAGTAACAGTGCACCCCCCGAATCCACCCCCCGTCATTCTAGATCCATACACACCATCTACCTCCATGGCTGCTGAAACCAGCTCATCTAGCTCTGGACAAGACACCTCATAGTCATCTCTATTAATGGGAAAACATAAATTACATTCAAAAAAGCTTATATGTGAAATGACTAAATGACAAACTGTTAAAATCACCTTGTAAAATATTTCTTAAGACCAATATTCCTTCCTGTGTAACTGACCTTTATAAATACCAAGGGGGGGGGGGGGGGCACAATAGTTTGTGGCTGTGTGCAAAAAAATTATGAATTTTTCTTGTTAGCAAAATGACTTGATATAGAGAAATTGTGGATGAAAATCAGAGCATTTTACCGCAGTGCATTGTGACTCTCCACCATGAGTTTTCCAAATCTGGTGTAATCTCCGAGCTCCAAACACTTAGCTGCCTCTTCAGTGCGAATTATCTCCCCTATCACATGACGCGCTCTCTTATATGTCACATCATCAAGTTTACTTTTCATTTCTAAAAAAAAAAATTAATGTTTTGTTAAAATCTATTACCAGGTAATTGTTCAAACATATAAACAGAACAAAAGTTTGCAAGAAGAGTAGTCATTTTAGGCCATGAAATAGCCTTTAATGGAGAATGAACCTTTTCTGAAAGTTCTATCAAGATCAAGCTAAACATTCAAATTTCAGTAAAATTTTTTAAAAGGTCTTGTGACACAAGGTAAATTTCAAAGTCCATCATTGCTGTTCAAAGAGCATTGGAAAAACCAACTTTGATATACATGTATAAACAGAATGATTCAAATTCAATTTGAAATAGTAAACTAGATACGTTCTCATGCCTTCTAAATCCTTCATAGTGGCCTCCCTAAGGCTTTTCTTGTTCATCAGCTGGGCTGCCACTTCACATTGCTTCTTTCTTGTGGGATATTCTGAACCAGTTAATTCATGCTTGACATTTGAATTTGTTACCAAGACAACCACATTTGGGTCATTCATTGGAACCAGTTGGCCCTCCATTGACCTATACAAAAATAAAATTACTTCCTAGTTATTTTTTTTTTTTACTATAGATGAGATTACTTTAAGGAATTTTAATGTGTGGCTTCAGAGGTATGGGTTGGTAAAAACATTTAGCTATACAAATTTGTTTCTATCCTTGAGATATAACCTTGCTTCAAGGTTCTAGAACATGGTTTAATAGCTTTTCGGGGAAGGAAGAAATCACAAACTACAGCTACAATGCCCTTGATCTTTGATGAAAAAAAAAAAAGAATGAATAAAAGCAGACACATTACCTTTGCAAAAACTATTGTGTAAACATTAAAAATGTAACAGAGATAGGTTTTGCCTCTAGTTGTGATTGAACCCTAGACCTTTGACATGCCAGTCCAGTGCTCTACAGATTGAGCAAAGGAGTTAACCCAAGGCTGAGTGGGGACAAAACCTGTCTCTGCTACAAAGATACAAGATCAGTGAGGCACAAATATCTTCAAGCTACTTTTGGCACATCTATATGACATGACCAATTATATCCAAAAAGATTTTTTTTTTACATAATTTAAAAAAAAAAATTTAGACAGAGCCTTACAACAACCTTAATTTTCAAATGATTAAATGGTATAATTAAAAAAATCTCACTCTGATTCACTTAAAAGTTTAGCAGAAATGCACTAGACAATGTGAGTTGAGAATCTGAATTACATTTCCATTTATCTAAGACTGACAATAATATCAACAGAAGAATCCTTATAATGAACTACTAAAAGCTCCCATCTTTACCTGCAATCTATAAGAAGAGCATGACCTTCTTGTCCCATGACAGAGATGAATTGGTCCATAATTCCACAGGGCATCCCAGCAAACTCATGTTCTGCTTTCTGACAAGCAAGTGCCTTGTCTTTCTTAGAAATGTCTGATCCACTATTAGTGAGGACGTCCAGAAATGTATAGGTAGCTACTTCTAAGGAGGCGGAGCTAGACACTCCCCCTCCGAGAGGAACTGAGGAGATCACAACCGCATCAAATGGAACAACAGTTCCTGAAAAAAGATTTCCTCTCTTTCAGTAGGAGGACTATTTTTGTCTTCCCTGAAATGTGGGTATGGGTTTTTATCATGTATTTTAACAAACAATGCCAAAAATTCAGATTTTATAGCCCATAAAGAGTAAATGGATAGCAACATATCACCAGAGTGACTATGGTTACCTTAAAAATTCCGTTGATTTTATTTTTTTGTAAGTAAGACTGTTCAAACATGTCCATTTTATAGTTGTTACCATGGTTACCATTAAATACATATCACAAAACACATAATTTTTAAAATTTTGATCTTTAGTACAATATTAAGTATCAAACCTTTGTAGTTTGCCACAACCCCTTTGACATAGTTTGCCCACTTTGGTGTGCCAGGTTTTAAGGGGGTCTCAGCTGAGGGAACAGGGAATTCTACATAGTTGGGGGCATCAACAGAGTCGGCAAGAGTAAGGACACGACAGAGGTTTCCTTCTGACTTTCTTCCAACTAAAACAGTTACTTGTGGAAGTGCCTGAAATGACAATTCATGCAAGATAAATTCTCCATCAAGTGTGTATACTACTTTTGATAAAATCTGTAGAATGTAGAGGTGTGACAAATCCAACCAATGAAAGTAAAAGAAAATACTGCCGGTTTCACTCGTTTCATGTTTTAATTGGTATCAATGGTACCAGTTCCCATTACATAAATTGTTCTTAGAAACCAGTAATTTAAGTTTTATACAAAAGAACTCATAAATTTATATAATATATACTTTTTGTAGAATAATACATATGATTACATCTATATGAACAGAGCAACGTCGATGAAGTTTTTGTGTGCACGTGTAAACATCGTAATCTATGTTTCATGCCATGAAAACAGATGAAAAAAAAATCCTGCCTTTCGTGATAAAAAGAAGTGACGACATATTTGAAATACTAAAATTATCCTTTCAGATATGACGCGTCATGTGTGATGATGATGAAATGATACACAAACCATGGGGAATACAAATCCCTCGTTGTAGTCGGTGTGTTCCCCAATAAGGTTGACCCTCCCCGGGGCATAAGCCGCACACTGGGGCTCACATCCAAATTTGTCAACGAAAGCCTTCTGTGCCTTCGCGGCAAGTTCCGAGATGGCGGGTATCTGTGTAGCTCCTGTGACCTCCATGTTTTCAATAGTAGAAAATGTACAGGGTTGGTCGAAAGTAAGCACGTGTGTTCTAGACTTACCAGGCGCGGATCCAGGATTTTTTTCCGGGGAGGGGGGCATCCCAGTCCAAAAAAAATTCTAATCCAAAAATTTCTTGACAAGCAATAAAAAAAAGAGGAAAATCCACTTCCCAAACGTGAAAAACACCTATTTCGTGATGGTGATATCTAGTGGGATCCACGTTTCTGGAGGGGGGGGGGGGTCCAAAGTTGGAACGTTCTTTCGTTAAAATGATATTGTCCTACGGACAACGGTCCTACGATTTGTGTGGTGAGGGCTTGTCCCAAGACACAGTTAGATTGTTCTAACTAGTCCAAATTCATTTTTATTTACTTCAGCTTCGGTATATACTTTAAATAACTCTGCAAATTCCAGGGTGGGAGGTTCCGGACCCCCTGAACCCCCTCTAGATCCGCGCATGATTTTTCTTATTACAAAAAAGATTTGAAAGGCGTTTTAAATGAAAAGGCGTAATATCAAAGCGTAATAATACGTTATAACGCTTCTCAAAGGGCGTTAAATATTACGCCTTTCAAAAGGGCTTTACTACGCCTTCTCAAAAGGCGTTATTACGCCTTCTCAAAAAGTCATTGTTACGCCTTTTCGAAATATACGCCTTTTCAAATAGCGGTATTACGATTTTTAAAAAGGCAATATAATGACACCTTTTCAAAAGACGAATTACGCCTTTTATTTTTCAATACATGACTAACTTAGCCCACTCCGGGGGCCGTAATTTTGACTCTCGAGACTTGAGTTGCACATATTGTTATAAAATAAAACCTTTTCACTTCATGATAATTTAATTCTGGTTATAACGCGGTATTTGATTGGATAAAAAAAATTACTTTATATTGTATAAATTGGGTTGCCTACGTCACAATGACTTGCATCAAAAACGTATCGATCCGCCTGACGTTACATTTAAATGTTGTACGTTTTGAAGTAGTTTTTTAAGAGCAATCATCTTTTTTCTTACTCTAAATGAATGAAAATTAAATTGTAAGGAATGAATTTGATAGCTTAATTCATTCCTTTATTATAACGTCTTTTTAAAAGGTGTAATAAGGTGTTTTTTTTTAAGGCGTTACGGCTTTATTGGCGTTATAACGCCTAAAGTTTCACTTCGCGTTAGTACGGTGTCGTTGGAGCTCAGAAAAAAATCAGATCGATTTAGATATCTTCCCTAATGAATGAGATACCTGTAATTGTTCCGACAGGTTTGGTCGTTCGTTCGGACGGAAAATATATAATTATGTGTGTGTACAAAGTTCTTCCTTCTTTTCGACGAATTAAATATATATACTTGTAACGATGGAAGAAAGTAGATTAAATTTTGTTCGGAATTGTTCAAACGAACTGGATATTTGCTTGGACAACTTGTACATATGAACAAATTTGATGCTTCTTCTTCTTAGGAAAAGACTTTTCATTCCTCTGATAAAAATACAGATTCCATTCATCGCAGTTTCAGGGAAATTTTACTTGCAGTTTATTAGGCCGGTTAAAATTGCATCTACAAGTTTTGAATTAGAAAGTCTACTCCAATACAATGTGCTCTCTCTCTCTCTCTCTCTCTCTTCAGATTATTTTAAAGAATTTCAGTCTTCAGATTATAATGAGAGAGAGAGAGGGAAAGACAGTTTTAAAAATCACCATACATTAACAATTTTTTAATATCGTTTTTATAAGTAAAAAAAGCATGACTCTAGATGAGAACAGAAATGTAAAAGTCACAAAAATATGTAAAGTACTCTGAGAAAAAAAGACTAGGGCAACGACAGAAAGCTGCAGAAATTATGGACAGCTCAATTTAAGGCAGAAGGAGGAGGGGGGTCTAGGTGGCCAAGACGAGAAGGCATGTAGAGCACGGGGAAAGCGCAACCATAGTACAAAGCTATCGATTTTGTAATTGACACATTAATTACATGTATCTGGTTGTCTTGAGATTATTATGGCTGTAACAGGAGGGGCATCAGATTAATGTTATAAAATTATGGAACTAATGTCTACTCATAACGAAAAAAACTATGTATGTTTATCCTAAAAATTTATGTTGCTGTCCGTCCTCCTTGATATATTTTCCCCTCTTTTATTTATTTGTTTTCAATCTTCTGTCATGATTTTGTATTGTATGACGAGTTTGCATATAATGTTTATATGTTATTAATGTAACCCATGTACCAATATTTTGTTTGGGTGAATAAATTGAACTTGAACTTGGATTTTGGGTGTAATTTTGCTTCAAAGATTTAGTTAGATAATTATACATTAAAACACTGAAACTTGCGATAGTACTGGTAAATTGCAGTTCAAAAGTAAGTATGAAAAAATTATGGTTAGAGGCGTTCAGCTGTGCTTACTGGATATTGTTGATTGTGCCCTTCGTTCATATAATTCAGATTCTGTTTATATGAAAAAAAAAATAATTAGAGGTCAGACCCAGAGAATTCTAATACTTGTTTCTCGGGAAATCGGGAATTTTTTAATTGTCTTTAGGGTTGAAGGGACTTTGAGCATTCAAAGTTATAACAAATATTATTATTTTATATAATACATATTTAAGATTAAATCTAGGATTTCAACCAAATCGTATACATATGTAACCCCGTCTCTCTCAATTTAACCAGAATCATCACAAAATTAAATATCCCTCCCCCCTCTCTCTCTCTCATTAATTATCATCATCAATTTTAAAAGTATAAAATTCCAGATAAAGAAAAATGTTATACATTCTTATTATGTTGAGTTACGATCGACTCGTCAGTTTATAATACTGAAGATCTGATTTTATCGGTGCAAAAAAGCACATTATTACGCACTTCCGGATCCGTGAACAGTATTCTAACTCTGTAATATGACTGGCCGTCCTCTTCCATGTATTTCACTCATTAGTTATTCTGAAGATTGCAAGGTAGAATTATACTCATAAAGAGGAAAAATGGGCTTCTTGTGAGTATTTACGATGTGAAATATATTCCAACAAGGAATGTTCAGTTTTCTAGTGGGTTTAACGGTAAAGTTATACGAACAATCATAACAGTGGCCAGTGGAAATTTACTTACACGTGAGAGCAAGGTGTAGTACAGATCGATTAAGTAAGGAATGAACTATATATCAGATTATCACCATAATTAAATAGTTTAATATTGTGATTTTCCAAGATTTTTCATGTTTTTAGGTTACATTTTTAGTTGATTTATGGTTCAGTTTGAGTAAATACCCACCCACCCCTCTCCCCTCTCTCTCGCGACCGAATGATCTCAATCCTTGAAAAATCACAATGAAACAAAGAAAATATTTTTTGCGTTACAATCAGGTCTGGTACAATCACTGAATTTAGCTACGTAGCTTGAATTACCACCGTAGCTTTATTTAGCTATTTCAATGCAACTTTTCACAATTTTGCTTTTTATATAAAATAGACAAAAAATTGCAAGTAAATAACTACTATTTATACTAGGATTTAAAAAAAAGTAATCATAGGCAAAGATAGTTTAAACATTGCTGTTTTTGAAAACTTTTAAGTAAAAGATGTATTGCCATTGTTTGAGTAACTGCACCACCTTGTGTGCGCTGAGGCATGGATAATTATGATTAACCACATTATGCTACTTATTCCAATCAATTATCATGTTAACCAGAACAGATCTTCATTGTTGTTTTATTCAACAAGTAACTGTTTGGTCACAAATTAACTGCTGTATATAGGCCCCAAATTTTAAGAACTTTGATTGCAATTGCGCTGAAAGAGACACATTTTCAAGAGTGATTTTTCATGAATTGTTTTTAGATCAGTTCAAAGTTGAAAATCATCATTGCATCAAAGTGCGATTTCCTGTACATCCTGAAAAAATGCTAATTTAAGGGGAAAATGATTTAGTAGCTGAAAAAAGCTACTTCAGGTAGGTAAATAAAGCTACGTAGCTAAATCTAGTTATTATACCAGACCTGACAATTGACCAATCAGTTCAAAATATTGACTTTAGATTTGATTACCTTTTTAATCAGAGTATCAAAAATGAGCGAATTTAATTGTAAACACTTCCGGTACTGTGAACATTATGTTCATAATATGACAGGTAGTCCTTTTCCAGACATTTCACTAATTCTGAAGATCTCAGGATAAGAATTACTCAACAGGAGGAGAAAATCCTTTTTTTGGTAAGTTTTTATAAACTGTTGTTTATTCATGTGAAAAGTTTTTAAAGAATGACAGGGACTTGATAGTAGGTTTAACGGTAAAGTTAAACGAACAATCGTACCAGTGGCCAGAGAGATCAGAAACCGCGCCAAATTTTTCTCTCTCGACTTTCCGTGCAATTCCGGGAGGCCCCTAAATATTACATAGTTAGAAATTATCACTTCCGTTGCTTTCAATTTCAGTCTTAGGTATCGAGGACGTTTTGGTTTACTGCATGTTGTATACGGCAGGTGAAAATCTGCACCAATCAATTTTTTTCAATCATTTTGGAAGCTAGACCTCACCCGAAACCGGGTAGGAAACTTGTAGGTATTGAATACAATCAAGTGTGAACCAAGGCACCTCCCCCCCCCCCCCCCCCGGAATCCAAGGTGACGAGTTGCAAACCTTGAGTCTTTTTATATACAGAAATATGATAGTTTAAAAAAATGCTAATTTCAGTATTTAGACAGACATAGAAAAACACAAAATACACCATCCTGAAACCAAGCCACTGTAGTTAAGGGTATACATTTTGATCTTCCAATAGATAGTTTTACACACGGTAAGGCTTGCCTTATAAGTTATGGAACTGAGTTCTTGCTTTACCGTGTGTACTACACCCTTTTAGATCAAGGTGACAACCCTTGAATCTAAATCACGAGGTCACTCGTGTGCAGCGTTGTTGTTCAGTGAATTTTGCAGTTGCCATTAAATAAAAGTAAAGTAAACATATTTTATTTAGAATGTATCGTATCTCCATAATTAATTGATTACTGTGCGTAAATTATTACATCCAATATATAT